ACACCAAATACACAAAATAATGTTCTTTTTAGCAGCATCATATGACCCCTTTAAACCCGGATGATTGTAACCACTCTTAAGTTCGTCTGCTTTGGGAAAGCTAGCGTGTCTCCGACATAGTGATAACACTCGTTGCCTTCTCTAGTGCAGCTCAACCAGGTCTCGTCCCATTCGTCGATCTTTGTGATATCACAAATCCCGGAAAATGTGCGTTGTAGTCCAAACGAGTCGTTCGTTGTAGTTTTTGAAAAGTGATTTCTGTTAAATAAAATATCTCCTTTTGAAGTGGACTTTGAGCTTTGTAACTTCGCAGATCTTTTTTTAAGCTCAAACAGCAACATTACAGACTAACTAAAGTTGAAAAAGTGAAAAAGCATAATAGGACCCCTTTATTGAATATTCTGAGAAGATCCTGTGGTTCACGAGGCTCCCCCTAGTGGTCATTCATATAAATCACTATACATTTATTTCTTTCCAAGCTAAATTCCAGTTAAATTTAATAAAGCTAATACAGACTGATTTGGAGATCTGTTTGTTCTGCAGGCGTATCGCTCATGGGTGCAGAAGAATGGTGAAGAGAAGAGACTCCCAGCTGTCAATCTGACAAACGACCAGCTCTTCTTCGTAGGTTTTGCACAGGTATGAAAAGGCACACATAAAAAAGAAACAATTTTGCTATAATAGTAACATGTACGACGTGAAACACCCACTGTGTAACTGTAAAAAAAAAAAAAAGATGCTGTGAAACCAAATAGAGACCAAGTATTAACCTGAGTTAGTCACTGTATGATGTGGTGAGAGACTCAGTAATACATTTGCTTAAAAAAAACAAAAAAAAATTTAATTATTTTTTTTATAATAAAATAATAACACTTTCTACAACAAGGTTCTTTCTATACATTAACATGCTGTAGGCATTATGAACTAAGAGCATGTTTTTAATATGTGAATAGATTAAATTGTAATCAAGTATAATTTGTGTGTGTGTGTGTGTGTGTGTGTATACACTACTGTTAAAAAGTTTGGAAATCAGATTTTTTTTGGAATGTTTTTGAAAGAAGTCTCTTTTGTGCACCAGTGCTGAAAAATTTAGTTGATGCAAAATACAGTAAAAACAATAACATTGAAACATGTTAAGCAGAAAGTGTGTGTGTGTGCTTCATACCTTGATTTACAACAAGCCTGATTCCTCGTCTTCAGATCTGGAAGATGTGAGCACTGTGATGCCGCTGGGAACGCCTCTCCGTGACCTCACAGGAAATGTTTGGATCCATCTGTGATGACTTCACAGGAAGCTTCATGTTCTCACAGTGACCTCACAGGAAGTGCTGAGCTACATCTGTGACCCCCCACAGGAAGGAAGAGCTTTCAAGGATGAAAGCCTATTTCCCAATTGGGATTTCAAAGAAACGCTATTAAACGACAGGGAGAGCCACTGTTTGTTCATCCGTCCTGTGTATCATGATTTGATCTTGACAAAGTTGAAATGAAATGGTCATTTTAAACTGCTTTTTGCCAAAGAACAATTTTAGGTTTGTTCCTTGTGTAAGTGAACGTGGAAATTCGCACTGCTTCGCCTTCAGTAACTCCATAATTCCACTGTGTTTTGTGACGTTGACTTGCGTGTGAAGGATGTATTTCCGTCTCCATGTCGTGCGGAACTTTGTCAGTTCTGCTGAAGTGCTGTCATGTTACGTTCTGAAAACCACTAAAAGGGTGAATCTCACCAATGTTTGAGTCATATTTCACTCCAAAGTTAATCGATTATTATTATTTGTGTAAAAATGTCAGTTTTTAGAACTATTAAGAATTTTCCCACACTATTTCATGACAATTTAGCACATTATTCCACCAAATTCATTACATTATACAGTGCAAATAATGCATTGCAGTAAACAAATCTAATACAATATTTTTTTTTTCCAAATCAACATAAATTAGAGGTTGTATAACAAATACCACAAAAATAAAAAATATATGAAAATTAAATGAATATATATATACAATTTTTTGTCAATTATCCAATTTCACAATTGCCACAAAAATATGAAGCAGCACAACTGTTTTCATCTTTGATAATAATCAGAAATGTTTCTTGAGCAGCAAATCATCATATTAAAAAGATTTCTGAAGGATAATGTGACACTGAAGACTGGAGTAAAGATGCTGAAAATACAGCTTTGCATCGCAGGAATAAATTACATTTTAAAATATATTCACATAGAAAACAGTTGTTTTAAATTGTAATAATATTTCATAATATTACAGTTTTACTGTATTTCTGATCAAATAAATGCAGCCTTGGTGAGCCTTTTTTATTACGGTAAAGATTTTAGTGAGGGAGATGTTTGAAAATCATAATAATAGGCTTAATTTTCTGATGTTGGACTGAAATATGACACATTATTGGCATTTCTTGAGATTCACCCAAAAGCGTTCTGTTATTGTCTGCTAAACTTCCCAGCATGCCTGCTGTGTTTCAGGGAGTTGCATCAGACGTCATTGTATGCTAGAGCATTTAAATCACCCGTTTCAGGCTGGATTGCTGCCGTGTGCGATTCCATCTCCAGCGTTTTCAGTTGCTGTAAATTGCAAGTACATATTAATCTGAATATCTGTGCTGTTGGAGTGTTTGATAGGCCAGTTTTTCTTCTGAATCAGGTTTCTGCTTCCCTAAAGCAGGCCAGTTTTGTCGTTTGATGAATTTTGAATGCTGCTGACTTCACCTTTTGTTGGTTTGTTGTTTTTGTTTATTTTAAACCAGTTGAATTGCACCATTTTAAAAGCTCAAGCGTGTTTGGCATCTTATTCCCGCAGCTGGCATATAAACATGCACATTTCAACTCTATTTTCTACATAGCTCGAGGATGAGAGCGCTAATTAGCTGAGGTTGAGGTGAACTGCTGAATGTTACGTCCCAAAAATTAAAAGATTCTAACGGTTAACAATCACTGTACATATTGGGACACACATTTGGTAAAGGTTTTCAAAAAATAGTTAACATTTTATGTGCTGTAGTTGAATGGAAAAGAGCAGCATGAATATTTCTTGAAATATCTTTTTTTTTAATTTTTTTTATGAAAGTCATACGTGTTTGTATGAAAGCTTATTTCCGCCACAGAATAAAAAACAACAATAAAAAAGGTTGAGATTTTTAATCTTACAATTCTGACTTTTTTCCGCACAGCAAATACAGAGTTCTGGCATGAAACTCTAGATGGCGCAGTCCGATCTGACCTAATGACATCATTATCACATGGCACAGCTGATTGGTTCTCTCCTGTATCGGTAGCCAATGAGCTCGCTGCTCAACATTCAAATATATGACTAGTGCTTGCAGTAGCAGTTGCAGCTTGCTTCAGAAACCCTCCACCTTCCCCAGCTCCACCTGTATAGATCTGCTACGAGGTGATTCATGTATGCTATATGGGGGTTATTTCATGGTATGTTATATTTACAGCAGCGATATTTTTTACATGCTCACGGCAGCATGTTGTGGATGTATTGGCAGCAGCA